GTTGCGTTCCTTCGTCGTTCTTTTCTTTCTCTTGAAATTGCAGGCTCGGAGTCTAACGTAGATGTTTAAGGGAATATCGACATCTCCAGCGACACATCGTCGTCCCCGTCTTAGGCCGGTTCTACATTGATCGTATCGTAGCATCGCAAGCGTCGTAAATCATAGATTCGACCAATCAGCGTTGAATTAGAACCAGTCTACGACCCTTGCGACACTACAACCAATGTACAACCGGCCTTAGGCTGGTTCTACAATAGACGATTGGGATTAGATAGAAATTTGACCAATCACAGTAAAGTTTACCAATCTCCAGTTTAGTAACTTTTACTATAATTGGTCAAATTTCAATCCAATCTCAATCTCAATCCGTAGTCTGATACGGGCTTAAGGCTGGTTCGACAATAGACGCAGCAAGCCGCAAGAAATCGGCCAATGACAGTCGATTATTTTTCTCATATTTGGCTGTGATTGATCGATTTCTTGCGACTTGCTGCGTCTATTGTCGAACCAGCCTTAGGGCCTGAGCAGAAAGATTGTCGCAAGTGTTTATGTTTCCGCAGTAAGGTGCAAGTCGATGTCGGAAGTCAACGCACAAAGAATTGTCGTAAACGTATACCGCATTCATCGCACGGCAAGGCGACATACGTCTACGACAATTCTTTGTGCGTTGACTTCCGACACCGACTTACTACAGAATCGTAAACGGTCACGATAAGCTTTCTGCTCAGGCAATACAATTTTCTTTTGAGAAATTTCCGATAGATTAACGTCGTGCATTCAAAGAGTAGTCATCTTCGAATTATCCGACGGGGATAACACACCCAGAAAAGAGTTTCTTTGAAATCAAGCAAAGTATCTTTGAATGTTGACCTTACTATAGTTGATTGTCATTTAATTTCAAAGAAATTACTTCTTTACCTTAACCAAAATTTTATTTGATTAAGACTGGAATCCGACCCCTTATGCGGAGTCTACAATGCAGGTTTGAGAGTCGCAGTCGTAAGAATAATCGATTATGATAGGTCAATTCTTACGCGTTCGTCTGAATTGACCAAATACAATCCATTATTCTTACGACTGCGACTCTGAGACTCGCATTGTGGACCCCGCATTACGTAACTCGAGGAGGAGACACTTTACTCGCGAGCTCGATAAAAATTTACGACTGCGAAAAGTCATCCCCGCAAATAACTAGAACTGCCGTTTTTGCAGACAGAAAAAGGCGGGCAGGAGCTAGCTTTAAACCAGTTGGCTGAATCTTATCCGTGACTCTCGCTCGTTTATTTCCCGACTAATTAACGAACGCGTTGCGCCGAGCACTGCCGCAAATTCGACGACCCGCGAAGAAGTGTATTGGCTTAATGGCCACGAACTAAAATTAGTGTGAACCATTAAGTTAACAGATTAACGCAGGTTGAAAATTGCGACCGCGATTATCAGCTAATTAACATATCCCGCTCGCGTAACTCGTTACGTCTAGGCGATAGTATCGTCGCTGTGATATAACAAGCGTCGCGCGCAAGCGATTCGAAAAAAAAAGACTTATCGGCAACGGCGTTCCGTAAGTCGAGACGAACTCGAGAAATCTTGTTCGAGCTCTCGAGCATCCCTCCCCTCTCCCCTCGTGCTCGAGACAATACAATTTTCTTTTAAGAAGTTTCCGATCATAGACATAGTAAATATAGACTGAGGCCGGTATTCATAGTCCGTTCTTATATTTTAAGATCCACAGAACCGTATTAGCCTTTTAAGACAACACTTAAGATGATTTTGAAATAAGAATCGACTATGAATACCGGCCTGAGCGTCCTGTTGAATAAGCTGAAGCTTGTGAACAGACAGACAGAGAAGATTTAAGAAGACTTTCTTTCTCTGTCTCACCATCGTGACAAGGGAGAATCATGCCTGTGTAATATTGTGCAGACACGACTCTTTTCTTCTACGATGGTGTAAGACAGAGAAAGAAAGTCTTCTTGTATCTTCTCTCTCTTTCTCTCTCTCTCCCTCTCTCTTCACAAGCTTCAGCTTATTCAATGGGACGCTCAGTCTATTATATATTTACTATGTCTATGTTTTCGATAAATTAACGTCGTGCATTCGAGGAGTAGTTATCTTCGAATTAACCGGCGGAGATAACACACCCAGAAGAAAGAGTTTCTTCGAAATCAAACAAATCTTCTTTGAATGTTGACTTTACTAGACTTTTATTTAATTTCAAAGAAATGATTTCGTTACCTTAATCAAAATTTTATTCGATTATCCCTTAGGAAAATTTACTTTAAACGAAATGAAAGTTTTTAAAAGTAACCTTTCAAATCTAAGAGTTTACTTAAAGAAGTTAAAAGTTTACTTGGGAAATTTTAGAGTAATTTTGAACACTTAAACTAATTTTTAGATAGCCAAGCCTGTCGAAGTTCCCGCTAGAGGACCGCGCGGCACAGCACTTGCCCGTAAAAAAAAACCGCACGCGGTATTATAAATTATATTACATTTCACAATTCTTAAAGTGTTCTTTTAAATTCTTAAAGTAAGTTTCAAGTTTACCTTAAATAAAAGTTTAAAGTGTCCAAATGTACTTTTCATATTTCTTATTTTTCTAAAGTAAAATTTTAAGGTTTTCTAAGGTATATTTTCCCATGGGTAAAACTGGAATCTCTAAGAGAATTCATATCTATTTCTTTAAATCTAGCAAACGCTTTAGTACAAGGGAATAAAAATTTAGTCAGATTCAAAGGAACGTGAAAGTTTCTTTAGAGTCGCCTAGTTGAATATACAATAACTATCAGTTTTAACCTTTTAGTAGCTCGTTCTATTATTGGCTTTTTCCTTTATGATTTTACAAAAACACGAGCCTATTTAGTTACTCATCATAGAAACATGATTTCAACGTATCTCTCATTTATTTCATTTAAATCAATCTTTCTTCTGGATGTAGGTTCAGGAATGCCGGAAGCGGCAGGCCGTTAATCGGAAATAATGACGATACGGCGGAAGGGTGGAGTCGCCGGTGAGAGGCGCCGAATTGCGTAGAAAGTTGCGAGCGTAAAACTTGCCCTCCGTGTAAAGGAGTGGAAAGTCAAGGCTACTATCTTCAACATGACACAATATTCGTGGATATGAAATCGGCGACCGCCGCACGGACGAGCTTTCAGCGGCAACAACGAGCGCAACGTTGACTCTGTCGTTGAAACTGTCAATATACAGGCAGTCGGGAGGGGGAGGGGGAGTGTGTGTGTTTGACGCCTCGGGGATACCCCCGGATACGTGTGGGAAATTTTACAGAGAGCATCGCGCGGAGCGGGCGCGTGTATACTTTGTTACAATGTAAAATTCGATTGTCCCGCGGAATTGTATATTTGAAGTACAAATTCGACGACCGATGTAGTTTGAAAAGCCGCTCGCAAAAATTCGTAATTTTATCTGCGTCATTTTGACCGAGGGCCTGCCCCGCGCCCCCGCCGCTCTGTAAAAAGAGGAAACGTTCGCGTGCAAAATTTGCGCGCTTATAATAACGTGAAATTATTTATTTAAATAGCAATTTTTTTTTGTTCAAATCACAAGTGAGGGAGTCCGTGTGTGACGTTGTGTATCGCTGTGTACCTCCGCGTTGCTTATTTATCGCGCGGGGCGGCGCACGCACGTCGAGATTAAACGGGGTGGGAAAACGGTATGCAACAGCGCGAGATAATAGATACATCGCGCCGGGAAGACAATCGATCGCTCGAGATAACGCTCGGGGAGGGGGAGGGGGTAGGAAAATCGCGACGTGCACGATCAGGCGCATTATCAGAGGAGTACAATGACCGGGGATCGGAAACCACGTTAGATTAAGGCAACGAGGTCGCGTGCCACCGGTGGCGGCCTAATGGTTGCACGCGGAGACGCTGGAAAATTGTAGCTTTCAACGTCCATCAATCAGGGAGCAGTGAATAATCATTTTTTGGATATCGCAAGACGCTGCTGCTCGACGAGAGATTATTGGCTCCGTGACGCGGTGTTTCCTCCTCATAATCGCATCGGCGCGGCGCGAACCGCTGACGTTGCGCCGATATTAGTATCGCGCCGGAGACAAGAAGTAAGGAGGAAATCTGGCGTGTCGAATGCGTTGGTGCATCGGATTTTTCGTATTTGTCAGATAGAGTTGAAAGTAAGACCTCGGCCAAACCGGGGCGAGACTGCCACCACTTCAATACACTCGTGAAATCCCAGTGAGAACACGCCGATTCGACGTTGATTTAACGTTAGTGTTCACACTGGAACGAAATTCTTTTACCATATTCTTATCACATGCCTAGGCGGTCGAATTGGTGAGACGCCTAGCAAGAGGGAAGTCCAGGTTGAAGCCCTGGCTGAGGAATTATTTTTCGTAATAGACTTAAAATTAAGTAGAGGAGTATACTTAAAGTCACCAGTGATGAATAAAAGTTGAAATAAAACTTCTTGTTGACCCAACTGGCAATATAATTAATTAATATAATTAATTAGGTGTTACAATTGGTACGACGTTTCGACCCAAATATCAGGTCCTTATCAAGTAACCGAACTGCAAACCAACATGCCACAATTTTTGAAGATGGTAAGAAATTACCTATTTCTTGATAAGGACCTGATATTTGGTCGTGCCAATTGTGACACTTAATTATATTGCCAGTTGGATCAACAAGAAGTTTTATTTCAATTAAAATTAGAGTTATCTAGACACCATCCCGCCTTGGCTCTTACTCCTTTATTACTTCGTACTTGTGTTTTCACATTAGAGCCTTATGAATTTTATTAGTCATGTATTCTTCTTTTTAAAAAAATTTCTCACTTTATGAAGCTTGATGAATGGTAACTTCCTTAGCAAATCTCTTGTGACCCAATCTTTTCCACTTACATTATCTGAGAACTCGTCACATAAAACAGTCGGTAATCACGACTTGTTCCTTCACAATTACTTTGCGCGTCCGTCGTATCGATAACATCCTACAATCTTGGACAATTACCTGCCTCTTTTCTAGGTTCCCTCTAGCCAGAGTAAGGCCAATAATATCAGGGATGCAGCATGCGGATGCAGAAAACGGACGGGACGACGGGCGATCGTTAATCATACCATCGACATGGGTTCTTCGTCGTGGCCGTCTATTAAACACAGAGGCGTGCAGAATCGCGCGGGGGAAGAGGGGGAGGCGGAAGTTTCCTCCTCGCGCCGGTTGGGAACGTAAATCGCGCGACTCTCGGGATTAGAATCGGGTGCCAAGTGTGTTGAGCATCCTGGAATGTCCCCGGAAGCATCTTGGGGGAGCGCTTACTGCAGCCGCGCCGCGGTTATTTACCTCTTTACGCGGAGAAACTCATGGAACCGACGCGACGGCCGCATTCAAATCACGCAGCCGCGGTAGGGAGCTCGTGTGCGGCAATTAACCCATTTATCGGGCCTAACACGAGGTAAATATTAAGCAACGGGGAGGGAGGTAGGGAGGGAAACAATCGCCTCGGAATATAGATCCCATGGGCGGGCACGTCGACTTTCTAAAGGCCGCCCGGGCGTTCCGAGCGTTCGGCTCTAATTAGAGTCGTTTAATCGTCACGTAATCGCGCCGGATCGCGGGAGTATTTTAGCAGCTTGAAATCGACTTCGCTCGTGTGACTCCAAGATAAAGCGGAGAAGCGTTCCCGCGTGTATTTGAACAAGTATTTAAGTCGAGCGGAGAAATGCGCGCAGCGTATAGGGTCTATAGAAAAGAATGATAGACCGTCCCCAGCGAGAAATGACTGTCGAATCGACATCGTTTAGACATCGATCGACGAATCATTTCACACTGGGTCGCATTATTATTATGATATAATTGTCAACTGATAGCCCTTGGGAAAATTTACTTTAAATGAAATGGAAATTTTTTAAATTAATCTTTCAAATCTAAGAGTTTACTTAAAGTTACAAGTTTACGTGGGAAATTTTAGAGTAATTTTGGACACTTAAAGTAATTTTTAGATAGCCAAGCCTGTCGAAGTTCCCGCTAGAGGGCCGCGCGGCATAGCACTTTCTCGTAAGAAGTAAACCGCACAAATTATATCACACACTTTTCTCAATTCTTAAAGTTTTTTCTTAAATTCTTCAAGTAAGTTTTAAATTTACCTTAAATAAAAGTTTAAAGTGTCCAAATTTACTTTTCATATTTCTCATTTTTTTAGAGTAGAGTTTTAAAGTCTTTTGAGGTATCTTTTCCCAAGGGTAGGATATCTTGTCGTAATGAAAACATGGATGATAAAAATTACGATGAACGCCTTAGAAATCCATTACTTAAACTCGCTTTAAATGTATAACTAGTGTCGGAATTCTACATGTAATTCCGTTTATAATTAACGTACCGTGTCAGAAAAATAATTAAAAAATCGGAGCACGCACACAACAATGTTAATAAGTAGCAACAATTAATTAACATAAAGTAATTAATACTAATAATTATTAATATTAACAATTAATTAAAATAATATATAGAAAGTAATAAACATGTACATAAATTACATGGCGTAAATAACATTTCATTAATTAGACTCTACACTGAAACTGGAATCTGCGAATTGCAGATGGGCTGATGCGAGTCTTTGAGAATTACTTTAATTACGAGTGTAAGATAAAAAGATAAAAACGCGATTGACAACAGCACATATCGACTGATCTCTTTCACAAGATCGTATCTCGATTTTACACAATTTCCAGTTTTTCTGCTTAAACGCTCATTCTGGTGAGCGTTTAAGCGGAAAAACCGAAAATTGTGTTAACTCGAGATACGATCTTGCGAAAGAGATCAGTCGATATGTGCTGTTGTCAATCGTGTTGTTTATCTTTTTATCTTGCACTTTACAAGTGCAAGATAAAATTGTGTAAAATCGAGAGGCAACTTTGAGAAAGAGATCAGTCGATGCAAAGCAAAATGTTGAACAAATTTCTTGAAGAATTTCTACATCTTCTCAAAATATCTGCATTTTCCGTAGTCAAAGTTAGCGCCCGGTAGAAAATCTTTCAAGATTTCAAGGCTTTCCCTTATATTGGGTCATCCTGTAAATAATCCGGTAAATACGGTATAAGAGAGAGCTTGATTTATTCTTTAGCTCGGAGGAAAGATTTTTATCGCCGGTAAATTGAAAATTAACGCTGGAAAGAAGTTGTAAATAATAATGGAAAACACATCGTTTAGACTGAGAAATCAAAATGTCAAATGTTCTTGTCTTATTTCAAAAATATCACCAGAATATCGGACCGACACAGAACATATTTACCTTCGTAATTGTCGCTTCCGTGTCCGCGTAAGAGGCGCTACGATTTCGAAACAACGTCGTCATCGCGCACGGTATGTCTCGTTTAAATTCATTGAGTATAAATAGCAGTTAACTCGCTCAAATAACCCTCCTATTATATAAATCTCTCGATGCTATATATCGCGCACGATCTCGTAAGGCGTACGCGACGCCGCGCTAATGGCGCGGACGACACGAACGAGACAAGTGATCGAATGGCATGTCACACAGGCGCGACGAAGACGCCGAGGAGTGTCCAGCCGTCCAATAGCGTCCCAGACACAGGGGCAACGACCAATCGCGTTACGTAGATTGAAATAATCGAGCGAGCGGCGCAACCAATCGCCCGACCTCGCCCGCGTCTCGTCGCCAGCTTCGGTCCGCGTCGCGTCTAGCGAACCGCCGCGTTCGTGGCCGGCGACGGCGGCGCCCCATGGCCAGTGGCGGCGGCCCGATTCAAATCAACCGCCCGCGCGACGCGGCCAATCGTCACGCGGCGCCGCGGTGGCTCGCGTCGCACGCCCGCCAATCGTTCGTGATGTTGCACGCGAGGCTCGTCGCGACGTCGCGCCGCGCCGTCGAGACCCAAGTGTACGCGCGGCTCCGCGAGGCCACCGCGCCGCATGGCACGTTCAGGCGCACGGTGGGCGACCGCGCCCTCAGCCGCGGTCAGGTATCGCGCGAGTACATGCGCGAGAATTATCTGAGGATGCTCGAAAAGTGCAAGTGTGAGTGGCCAACGTCCCCATGGCCGCGGCCATGCCAGTGTCACGTCAGTGCCGCGTGCGCGTCGCCCTCGCGTCGGTCGCGTTTGTTGTGTATACGTTCGTCTCGCTCGCACGCGCTGCGAGCCGCCGCGCGCGCATGCGCGCGCCCCGCGCATTCTCGATATATCGATGGGGCGAGCGCGCGCACGCGACCTTGGCTGCGCCGCGCATGCCGAGCGAATTATTGGCACGCGGATCGATCACCCTCCCCGCGAGAGCGCGGTGGCGGCGATACCGTTACGCGTCCTCCGCCGCAGGGCCGCGGGCGGGATCCGGTTAAGCCTCTCGAGCGCCAATTTTTCACGGGGGACGCATGCGATTACGTGTGCGGCGATGATCAGGGAAACTCGCCACCGGCCGAGTCTTAGCCGATCGCCAGGCACTCGGACGTACGTGTCCGACATGTCGCTCTTTGCGGATGCGATTAGTTCTTTCCCATTGTTCTCGAGTTCATTGAAGGGTGTCGATTCCGGTTTTCTTGTTTAGGAAATTGATACGAAGTGAAAACATGGCTGTCGCGTTTTATCTAGGAATTAATGTTCAAAGAGACAGAAAAGGTTCCCAAATAACACAGATCGTTATATCAAGTTTTAAATGCACTTTATAAACTCTTTATTTTTTTTAAATTATTTTTTTAAATTAGCGCGATCTATCGAAGGAGGATCCCCTTCCGGTAGTTTGAGAAGGATTTCGTAAAAATGTGTATTTCTAACTTCTCGGAGAATTAAATAAGACCCTAGTGCATTGACCGATATTGTCCAACGTAAAGCTAATATTGGCCATGGAATAAATGTAAATATTGTACGATAATAATTATATAATATTAAATTTATAGCGCAAGTGCATTGGTCAATATTTAACAATGTAATAAGAATATTGCCATACAGCACAGCAAGGTTTCCGCAACATTGTAGCAATGTTTCATCGCAAGATTGCAACATTGCCTAAACGCTACGAAATGTTGCTGCAACACTGCTGCAATCTTGCAGCAACGGTAAAATGTCCGCCTTTGGAAATATTACAACGTAACATTACAACATAGCAATATAATATATGCAATAATACTTTATGTATATTAATATATAAAGAAAAAATTATGAACAAATTTCGGATTTTAAAAAGATCGTAGGAGCCAACAACATTTTCGCGGCAGTGTGTGAAAAACCGTAAAGTCGCGGTTACAATGTACATGTTACAAACATAATTGTATCAATATTTTAAAATGATATTGCTACAACATTACTAAAGTAATATTGTAAAATAATGTCTCTGCAATATCTATGCAACATTACACTGCAATATGCAATGTTGCAATGTCACAGCAATGTTGTTGCAAAGTTCTGTGCTGTATGGATATTGTATCAATATTAGACCAATATTGCTAAATAGGCATATTGGCTAAATAAGAGGAGACATCCATCTTACGATATTGGACCAATATCGGGAATACTAGATTTACATTATTTCTCTATATCGTGCTACAAGGGGAATTCCTTTTGCATTCGAAAAAGAGCTCGGTATGTATGTACGTAGGAGCGAGTTCCTTTTGAATTCTCTGTGCTATCTGGGATTCTTTTCCCTCAACGCAATCTGAAATGCAGATTAATCCGAAATATATAAAGTCCCGTAAAAATATAAATATAAGCGATGCATATCTTATCCGCAATTATAGGAATCAGCAAACGTATTGATCGTCCGTAAATTCGAGGATCCTCGACAGATTAAAGAAACAGGGGACACGGAAAAAGAAAACGGACTGAGGCATATAAACTTGTCACGGGGCACGAAAAACACGGCAAAGAACCGTGCCCCCCCCCCCCTAAAAATTTCAATATTAAATGCCCGCGTCTCTCCGGCCAAAGCTACGAGCCGCGTCTCGTATTTATCGTCGCTATCGGCCGGCCGCGAGAGATACGACGCGCCGAGCGAGTTGTTTGAGCGAGCGAGCAGGAAAAGTACATAAATTATTGATGAGGATCCGCTGCGTCTCTCTCGGCTCACCCGGCCTTCCCGCGATCGTCCTAATTAATTAAATCCGCTGACGAAAAGCGGCGTAAGGAGGGCGGCCGACGCGAGCGGACGGATTAGATTCCAGATCTCGCGGAGATCGCGATCTCTCTCTCTCGCTCTCGCTCTCGCTCTCTCACGGCACGCGCGACGAGCGCGGAGCCCGGCGACGAATGTGCCGGGCAGAAAAATCTAGGACAGTGAAAATCGGCCTGTATCGCCGCGCGTCTATAGAACGAAACGGGAGCATTCGACGCACGAATTGATCTCGCCAGTTAGGTCTGGAGGAGTAATAACTGTAGTTGATTCCAATTGAGGACTCTCGAGCTCGCGCGCGCGCGCGCGCGAAATTAAGATTGGCCGCGAGCGATATATACCGATCCGCTTCCAGTTGCCAGAGAAGCGAAGCCTCCCTGCCGAGGGTCTCCTCCACTCGCGGCCACTCCGACTCTTACAATTAGATGCCCCGCATATCTTTCTCTTTCCTCTCCAGAGAGGTCCCCCCGGATTAATTATCGCCGTGATGTTACAGCGAAAAAGCTACCGCAGGACGTGAATCCCAAGGGCGTGTTCGCCTGTAACGAGCTCGACTTTAAAGAGGTCCAGGTTTACGGATTCGATTACGATTACACGCTAGCGTGTTACAAGCCGTCTATGGACTACTTGCTTTACAGCCTGGGACGCGACATGCTCATTAAAAAATATAAGGTCTCTACTTTGCGATAAATTCGCTTACTAATCAAGTCGATATGACACGACTTACACCGTGCAATTTTCTTGCCTTTTCACCCCTCGCCTCAGATCAACCCTTTTGTAGAAAGAAAAGAATATTAATACTAAAATTATGTCTTTGTTCGGATATGTTTAACGCTTTAATACTCTGGGAAAAAAAAGGACAGTTAACAACCCATTCTGGGGCCCACAATCGGTAATCGAATTATTTGGATTGTTCGTAACTCTACTCTGGGAAAATTTTTTACCGTTTTTTTTTTATAGTTAAGCAACTTAACATTTCGGTTAGTGCCGCTTAAGTGAAAATTATCTTTGCGTTACTGAATATCGACAGAACTAATTGAGAAAATTGATTAGGATTGCTTTAAACTCTTGGATATAGATAGAATAGCTAATTGCGATTTTTAATTACGCGGGGTAAAATTCGTAAAAGATTAGAGTTACGAACAATCCAAATAATTCGATTGCTAATTGTGGGCCCCGAAATGGGTTGCTAAGTGTCTTTTTTTCAAAATTTTCAAGTTTCAAGTTTTTAAAAAAATTGTTTAATAGTTTCTGCTTTATCGCGAGCAACTGCGAGAGGCAAAAGAATTAGTTGCAAGCTTGTCTCTATCTCAAAGGACAGTTATTCGGGATTTCTGCCGGAATCAAAGGGCAATTACGGCCGATTAGAATTTCATCTTGAAGTTCGCTTGAACTCGCTTAATTATTCCAGTATCCAGAGGGAATTGCCGATCTGAAGTACAGAGAAAATTTCGCCGTCCGCGGCCTCCATTACGACATCCAGAAGGGTCTCCTGCTGAAGCTCGACAGTTTCCTGCAAATTCAATTGGGCGCCGTTTATCGTGGCTCGCACCCCGTGCCCGACGAGGAGGTCTTGCATATCTACAAGAACAGGATAATACCGATAGCCTACGTCGAGGCACCCCATAAACACTCCCACGTAAGTTCGTTATCGAGGGAAGATCAGCGAGTAATGGGTGTAACACTTGAAAGCTTAATGCACATGTTCCTTCCCTTTTATTATAATAAGAGAGCGGGCAACGCATGGCTTGCTTAAAAACTCGCGACGTAAAGTACCTCGCGCCTTTCCAACATCTATACGACGTGATCTTGTTGCGTAACTAAACAGAGCTGTGCTTTCAATTACTTTTCTAAACGTCAAAGGGATTTTTGCCTCTTCTCTCTTTCATGCCGCGGTAAAAAGAAACAGCGACATTTTCTCACTTGTCGCGACTTTTCATCTGTAACGCTTAAAACTTTAATATATTAAATGCCCCACCTTCTCTGTTTTTGCACGTGTCGACACGTGTGTTTTTCATGATGAATTGCTCCCATCACAATGCGCAGAAGGTAAGTACATTTATATTCGCACGACCTATATAAAAATTGTTTGAATTATTCAAGAGTCTGACATTTATTTATTTTTTGTTTAGGATGCCTTACATCGCTCGAAAATGGTCCAATTAGCCGATTTGTTCTCGGTACCGGAAATGGGTTTACTGTGTAACGTTACGGAGTATTTCCTACAGAATCACATCGACTACCACCCGGAGATACTGTTTAGGGACGTTAAGGTGAGCAATCAAAGCATAATCATGTTAATTTTGTAATTAATTTCACACGATCTTTATAGAATTCTGTGCAAAGCTGCCATCCTATTATGCATCGACTGGTAGTGGAAAATGTGTCCGAGTACCTGGAACAGAATAAAGATTTGAGGAGATTTTTCGATCGACTTCGAAATGCTGGCAAGAAGACTTTCTTGGTTACAAATAGTCCCTTTCATTTCGTGTACGTTTCTCAAAGCAAAGCGTCAACTTTTATGAAATTTATAATATTCTTTAATTAGTATGACTATATAATAGGTATAACGTGTGGACAGTTACGTTCCTTACAGAAATATAACAACTGAGAACGAAAAAAGCACTGAACAATTACTAGAGTTCAGTAATTGAATGATTAGAAATTACTGGTGTACAATTTTTTAGTAATCATTTTGCTTACATTTCTATAAGAGATAACATAGATATAACTCTACAAACTATGTTTACTTGGTACTGTACAATTGTCAACGTAATTTTTGCAGTAACAAGGGTATGCAATTTCTGGTGGGCGAGAATTGGAAGAATTATTTCGACGTGGTGATTGTTCAAGCGAGAAAACCAAGATTTTTTACCGAGGAAACGCGCCCCTTGAGAATCTACGATGAAGTTAAGCAGACACAATTGTGGGATCGAGTCACTAAACTGGACAAGGGTATCATATATCTTGAGGTGATTTTTTTATTTTAATTTGCTCTGAAAAGCAATATATTTGTGAATATATTACGCATGTCTACTAATCGTGAAATATTTTAGGGAACAGTTAAACAATTGCAAGATATGACCGGATGGCGAGGACATCAAGTATTGTATTTTGGCGATCATCCATACAGCGACCTGGCGGATGTGACTTTAGAGCATGGCTGGCGAACGGGGGCGATAATAAAAGAATTGACGGTAACTTAAGCAGAATTCTTATCAATCCTGTTTGTACAAGGCTAATCTGCTTTCGAGAAAGAATGTCGATGCGCTGAATTTAATATAAATATATCTTGTATAAAGAGTTATAAATTACATTACAGCACGAAATTGAAACTCTAAATGATCCGAAATTCAAAGAGAATGCGAACTGGCTCCAGATGTTGACCGGTCTAATTGAGGAACATCAGGATTACGAAGGGCCCGAAGTGCAAAACGAGCTGGACGAGTGGATGAGGGAACGAGATGAATTAAGAAACGAGATTAAGTCTGTCTTCAACAAACAATTCGGCTCAGTGTTCAGAACATATCATAATCCGACTTATTTCTCCAGAAGACTGTTTAGATTCGCTGATATCTATATGAGTTCAATCACGAACCTGTTAGAATACTCCACAAGTCATACGTTTTATCCTAGGAGAGGTGTAATGCCTCACGAGTATACAAGTTACTTCGTATAAAAAGTCTATGTTTCTAGAAATACTTGTTATCCTTGTATAAATGCTTTTAGAGCGTATGATCAAAAAATATTTCGCGTTGCAGAATAGTAGTTTCGATCATGAGAAAAGTTGATATGTTCGACATCACAAAAGCCTTTATAACAGAGAATCGCTAATTCCGTGCAAAACACTCCCGCCTTATTATTAGGTACGCATGCATAATTTACGTGCGCATATAATGTAAATCTATATCGATCAACGTTAATGCGCTTTTACAGCTATGTAGTTACAGGTAATCTGCATTGAAATGTAATGTATGTAAACGCGATAAAACGGACGGGCGTATAGATCACGTAGGCTCTTACGTTATTATTATTACCATGACAATAGCCGGATTATGTAAAATGAAGTGATACATGTTGTAAGGAGTAAAATGCATGGAATAGGAAATGTTGAAAAATTCGAACAGCTATACGCAAAGTATTATTGAACTATGAAATTTGTTAGATATTTTGAGATTTATTAATTTATTTTTCGTAATTTATGTAAGAGAGAGAGAGGAAACGTTAATGCGCTTTTGCGCAATTAGAATGAAGTATAAATTGTGAAGAGAATGCCAATTTAGATCGTGTCAATACTCAATTATTTTTGCAATGAGATAGATATTTATCGTTGACGCATGATAAATTTAAAATTTAACTTGTAATATATTTATGAATATGCGATATATCCACATAAACAAGTACAAACGTATCGCGCACATGCAATTCAATTTTCATCCTGAATTCAAAAGTTAAATTTGCAGTTTAATTGGTATTAGCTTTCTTTCCAAGTTCCTTGTAATCGGTTTTAAGTTATTATTTTCTGCATGAAATTATGCGTTAAAAGCAAACGTTCGTTTATAGTTTAAATTCGTTAATGTAAAAACATTTATTGTGTGTTTAGAATAATTTTTAGAATGACTTAATACTCAACATATTCAAAAATATAATCATTAAGGTAACCGTGTGTTCAAAAGTATTATATATAAATATGACTATATTAAATAGGAAATGTTAAAGTATATTTATTTAGTATCTTTGTAGGTGAAATGTATCACTATTGCTAAATATACCTTTATTTTCAATACAACTGATTAAGATTCTATGTAAACGTCGCCAAGGAAAAATATCTTTCAATCTCTGTCGCGTTCATGTTACCCGATTTTTCTTTGTTTCCAGTTTGCCATTCAAATTTTTACAAAACTTGACGCAGCGAAAATTCAGCAATATGACTTGGGAAGATATTAAGCCAAAGATCTCGGTGCCAATATTTTGTACACTCACGCTCTGTATATTCCTGGCAGATATTTTAATTGACGAGAAAAAATAAGGAGCAGAAAGTAATAATAAGGTTTCTATACGGTTAAATTTCTGACAGCAATTACTTTCCTAGAACATCTATCTTGATAACACATCATCATAATTTTCTAGCAAAACGATGGACTAATCTAATATAAATAAGCAACATCATTGCAAATGTTTAACCACATTTTTCACAAGATAATTTACTTGCAGAAACCGAGTCTCTTTTCTACATTTTTTATTTATCTTCTTTATATTTTATATAAAGTGGTATATAATACTATATGTGTTCGCTATTTTAGCATATCCCGATATGATGGCAAATGAACTGGAAATAATCCTAGATGGACAGGCATTTCAAAAGGAAATTGCGCTGAATAGATTATCATCAATAACTCTCCAACAAGCTCGTAGAAACGTAATTCACGTCAATGACGCGTCAACGAGCATACATGCCCTCGAGAAAACGCTGAGAGAGTCCACTGACATGTTCATCCAAAATTTAGACAAAATCTCTAAGATTGATATTAAAGATAAAAAAGTAAACTAACATTTTGATATACAAGCAATGTATAAAAATTTAATTATATAGACAGAATAAGCTCATTTTATCTAATATTACATAGATAAAAGCTTATTTTGTCTGTATAACACAATCAATATATATTGAAGAAAACACTACTTCTTCTATGTACATTTTATTTTTAATTTTTTATTCTGCCAGATGATACAAAAGAATCTAAAAAATAAGAATATAAATAGATTTATATACATATATACACACAGTATATACAATTATTAATAGAACTGTGTCTCTAAATTTGGCACGAATCGTACATCATCTAAATCTGAACTTGATAAATATTCAGTCAACACCTCTCGAGTCTGGAACGCCTTTGGAGTCTCTGGAATCTGCTGGCACACTGTCGTCAAAAACATCAGAAGATATCAGCGAGCAGAGTGCAGAGATGAAGGAAGAAATTTCGCCGGTCGACTCTTTCACGCCGCTAGAAGCGGCCGCGATATCTTGTATCCTGGAGGAGTGTTTGGACCAGCTCACCATAATCGGATTCATGATACCGGCCAATGTTGACACACGCTGGGACGAGACGTTTAAGACAATCGACGAAACATATGGGGTACCTGATGAGCCTAGAATAATTTTCAGAGAAGACATGGGCCTGTTACCAGTCGTACCTACGGAGGCTGAAAAAATGCAGAAAGACAGGTGCTCAGAAACACATCTTCGTATGCATTTGTTATAACACTTGTGCGAAAATGTACTCTACATTGCTTATAACTGGGGAGGGGGGGGGGGGTACGTAAAATTCTTTAAAAAATATGACATGATCTCAGAAGGGCAATACTGTTATTCCAAGATATTTTTTTTGAAGCTCTGCGTATATTAAATCTTTCGCGAAGATTGTCTTGCCCTCCCATCATCTTGTAATAGAAGTAAGAATCTCGGAAGAGCAGGATGCGCTTCGGACAATCGCTAATTTACGTCCGCTCCTTCAATGACTCTACATCTAGGAACTATGTGTGTGAGGTCCTGAAAAAAGTCCTTCACGAAATAAGGAACCATAGAAGGTTCGACAGTCTACAAGAAGAGATTAATAATATCGCAAAGAAGGAGGAAGGCGAGCGTAATCTCGAGGAGAGCGCCCAGAAATGGCTGAGCCAAGCTGAGCAACTTCGAGAGCTGCTAGAATCAGACAGAAAAGCGAACGAGAAAGACAAGGAAAGGACGATAGAACTCGCGCAGGAAAGCGACGCGCGGGTCGACCACGCGATATTCTTAAATAGCGGAAAATTGGGTAACGCAGAATTTGTACGGGTGCGCTTTGTGACATTCTTACCGGGTCTGTTGTACTCAGGCTATGCGGAGAGATGGGCAAAGGCTAGATTGGAACAGCAAGAACTCAAACTGCAGCTACAGAAGAAAGATATGCTGAACAAACTGAGTGAATATGCAAAGGAATACAATGAGGAGCAGATCATCTCGGCTGAAACGAGTGCTTACCTAGAAGCGGACATCAAAGAGAAAGAAGAGCAGATAGAAATGTGGACGAAGAGATACAATAAAGAGATTGTGGAACGGCAGCAGGAAATCGATGAGTTAAAGGTACTTGAAGATTAATAGAGTAGAAAGTAAATAATTCGTACAATATATGTATATATATTTAATTGAAAATAACAAGTATAACAAACGTAAGCATACAAAAAAATTTTTAAATAACGAAAAACGAGTTACCTAGCCTGACATGATAAACTTTTAAATGATTCATGACTGTCTCACTCGATAGATAGTAATAGAAGAACAAAAATTAGAGATGGAGAAAATGCGCGCTTTAATGGACAAACGACAAAAGTTTATTGACCAATTTATCGCCGAGGAGGAAATATTGGAAGAGAAAGAGAAGCTAAATAAAGCTGCGACTCTCATCCAATCGATATGGAGGGGTCACATGGTGAGGCAACAATTAGGAAAGTACAAAGGTCTTCGAAGACGATTGAAAAGGCGGAAGAGATTAAGCAAAAGAGAAAGAGGTCGATGAAAAGATCAAAGAGTACACCGAAGAAAGAGAAAAGTGGACTTTGGTGCCTGAACGTACGACGTAGACAATTTGATATTTTATTATTGAAAAGGTTACCGCTTTCTTTACACACTAATAATGCCTGCGAAGTATCTGTATAAATTATTCAAATATATTTTTAAACAAATATCAGAAATACAGTATATTTACATGAAGGTCTGACTCACACACATGCAAACATGACAAGCGCACAGCATTGTTCTACACATCATTTGAACATTACCGAGTACGAATACTGTAAATAGTAATGATATAAATATATCGGCTCAGCGTATCGTACTCGATAAAGGCATAACGTCTCACGGACTTGTTCTAGTTGTCGCACATTCTCAAGCTAAAATGAACAGCCGCTGAAGCAATCAGTGGCAGTGTGATAATCACTGTACATCCCCTCCGTACCGCAATACCGCAATACGTGGGAAATAATCACGACTTTACAAGTAGTGTACAGAATGCGATGATAAAATTACATGCGACAAACGTCTATGTGTGAGCCGAAATGGATTATACTCATCGCTCAGTCTGCATGTACTAGAGAGTACTGTATCATAAGTTTTCTTGCAGTAGACGAACTAGTGCGGTCGATTAAATCTACCTTCGCATCGTATATTAGATACGCGCCGAGACAGTTGCGTTACCCGATATCGCGGGACGGTCACTGATCTGTTCATCGACACGTCGACACAATTCGTGTGCACAGAATCTCCCAAGTCCGTCTAACGGATTAAACACATGCGATCTCCACCGAGACGAGGTAGCGAAATGAAATTCGGGCTAAGGGCGAAGCGAAGATACCCGTCGCGGACGAAGCGACGGGCGCGCGCGTTAAGATTCGAGAATGGTAATTTCTCTATCACTGACGAAACTTGCGACGCGACGTTTAATTGAAGTGGAACTTAAACTGGAAGGGAGACCCGTGGAAGTGGTGGAACTCTTGGAAGGGATTGAAACCCTGCTGGTGCCGGCCCGATTCCGGGTCGAGAGGGTCCTCGCCCTGATCGAATTTCGCCCTCTTCTCGTCGTCCGTTAGGACCTCCTTGGCGGCGGCGATGTCGATGAACTTCTTCTGCGCGCGCTTCTTCTCGTCGCCCTCGTGAAAATTGTCGGGATGCCATTTTTGCGCCGCTTTCCGATAAGCCTTGATGATATCCCGCTTATTCGCTGTTCTTGGGACACCCAGGATCTTGTAGTAGTCTCGGGACTCCGACATCTTTTGCCGTTGTTGCGCCTTTTGCAATCCCTGCTTGGCTCTTTGGAAGTTTGAATCTATCTCTAATGCCTCCTTGAAATCTCTAATAGCTACGGAAGGAAAAAACAATATTATTTATTCAGCTTACGTTCCAAAACAGTTTCTCTGAGGAAAATTTTACTCGACAAAACCAATCGGAAACGCTCAAAGAGGTTTCGGAATGGCCATCGAGTAAAATTTTCCTCGGAGGTTTTGGAACGTAACCTTATTGTATTACAATCACAGAGTGGGACAGCTCCGTACTTTGACACTGTAAAATATATACAAGTCCAAATTACCATCGTCGAACATTTCCCCGGCGAGATACGCCTCTGCACTGTCACACAACACACTCGGTTCTCTCCTGATATTTAACGCCGCTTGGCAATTTTTGATCGCCTCAGTCGTATCAGAACTTTCCGTGTAACATCGACAAAGGTAATGGTGAGCCGTGAACTGCACCTTCACCTCGTTCTGCTCGTGCGTCAACACGCGACGGGCCGAATCGATGCAAGCATCATAATCCTTGTCCTCCAGCGCCGTCTCCGTGTCTTGCAGCAGCTTCTTTATCTTTCTAATCTTCTTGTAAAACGGGAAACACTGCTTATGGTCTGGATCGAGCTTCAAACACTCTCGAATCTCCCTAGACATTTGTGTGCCAAATTAGTGCTGCGTCTTAAGAAAAATATCAACGATTCTGGCGGTTAATTGCTCACTTTAATGCCTCGTCAACGTCCCCGAGCCGGTAGAGCAACGTCGAGAGCTTGAAGAAACCCTCCGTGTTATCGGACAACAATTTTGTAGTCGAACGTATGTCGGATATGGCGCTCATGTGATCCCCGAGGGCGATATGGCTCTCCGCCCTGCGTTCTCTCAAATAAGAGGACCACGGGCAGATCTCGATGAGCCGAGTAATCTGTTGCACAGCTGCTACGTGATCGCCGTTATACACAAATATATCGACTAATTTCATATCTTCTCTAGCTGGGTATAACCTATCTAAGGCATTCAAGGCATCCTCATTTTGTTCTAACGCTAGCTGGAATGAGAAGAGCAGCGGCCGTAAGTCGTTTGAGCTCGCGAGCAAACTGTATACAGGTAAAAAAATGCAATGTAAACACAGGGGCTTAACGTACCACGTCGCGAAAGTCGTTTTCAGCCTCGTCGAAGTGGGCCTGCTTGAGTAAAATGTTACCGCGCTGCAGTTTCGCCGGCGTGAAATCCGCCTTCAGCTCCAGAACCTTGTCGAGATCGAGGAGGGCGAACTTGGCTTTGCCCAGCGCTAAATAAACCGTGCCTCTCTTGTAGTAGGTCAGGTAATTGCTCGGGTCACCCTCTGAAAGAAACTCGCTCTTGAGCGCTCCCGTTCTCTCGCGAGGTCAGCTGTCGCCGAACATTTAAAAGACCGGGCTCAACCTACCGACGGCTGCGTGGTAGTGCGACAGCGCATCCTGCAGCTGGCCCTTTACGAGGAACTCCCTGCCGTACTCCAGATGTTTGGCGATCTCCGACTGCGAGACACTTCCGACCGCTGAGGAGAAGAAACCCAGCTGTTATCAGTCGTCCCCGTCGGCACGGACGGGCATTAGTTTATCGTTTCTCTTTTTTTAAAGGGTGAGAAGGTTAGGGGCGCACGTACCGTCGAGGGTTAAATCCAGCAGTGCCACTATCAGGAAACCGTACATGACTGGGGCAGGGAAAAAGTCAGTTCCACCGCGTGAAACGTGCTGTGCTGTAAACAAGGAGACTAATGCGCTCGGCACCGCCAGATCGACATCTAACCATCCGATAACACAAAACCTTCCAGCCACGCCGCCATTGCGATCGTGGTCCTATCCGATTGGCGGGACCGCGAATCGTGTCTCCCCCACCCGGGGCGAAGCCAGGACCAGATAACCCGTTGCGCGGGAGAAACGAATGTCGTCTACAATTTTACTGCGAGGACAGGCAGGGCGGTGTAACATTGAAAAAGCGAATTCGAGTTTAATTTAAATGATGCAGCCGTCCCTCCTCTCGTGTAAGTTTACTATACAGATTGGCGACTTGTATCATTTTATACTTACAATTAGTAATTCGAGTGAATAGATTTTTTGTTAGGCTTCTAAACTTAATTTCAATGATATCATGCTGTTCACTGATTTAGTCCGATTAGTGGAACGCTGTCACGTTACGTCTCTAATCTAATCTTGAAATTAATCATCGATTCATTCAATTTGTAAGAAAGCTTGTAACAATTTCCATCGATACAATTTGTCGCTTATGATCCAATTCTTTTTCTCTGTAAAAAAAAAACAAGTGAAAATACTCTCCACGAAGTGTTACTCGATAAGCTACTTACTCTTCAAATTAATTAATCGGAACTTTAAAATAAAATGCATATCTCATTTTTAAAAGAATATAGATTAATAGAGAAAAGTTCTCTATTATGAGATATGTTTCTAATATAAGATAGCAGGTTTACAACACCCAAATTCAATCACAAATAATTTTTTGCAAGGATTACACGTTCTACCAATGAATTTTCCACTAACAGATTTCATTCCAATGATAATAAATTCATGGTGAAACCAACAGATGATGCCTATTAATTTAGCAGAAACTCCTCTATCTCATATTAGGAGCCTATCTCTCACAAGGGAGTTTTCTCTACATTAATATATGTATATTTGTAAAGACTGTCCAAACAACTACTGTAACTTCAATGTTCTGAAAATTAATTAGGAAAAGTTAAAACTTCCAGTGCAAGATTAAAGATTAACTAAAGATTCGACGCAATGCAAATTCTTGCTAAGGAATAATCAAACTTACAATTAGATTCGTAATTACAAGTCGCATACACGACTTCCAGCATCTGGCGCGAAGGTTGGCCGCATAGAACGATCGCAGAGGATTAACTACCTTCCTCGAGACGCAAAAATCGGAGCAGGTAAAAAAGAGGGTGGAAAAGAACCACACGCCTTGATCCTTTTGTAATCTTTATTATATTTATTTTTGTAGAAGTCTCCTGTCACTCTCTCTTCCTTCTCTTCGCATAATACTATAAATAAACGGAAAATTCACCGAATGAAAGAACATCGAATTAATATGTGATCGTCCCGTATGAGGTATTTTGTAACAATATTGACACTCTACATCAATTCTTCACGAGCATACGTTTATATATGCCTACACACGCAAGAAGTACGTGTACGGAAGAGCGTCTAGAACGCTGAGAAAGTGAAGGAAAGAGGAATCGAAGAAACGGAGGAAGAAAAAGAAAAGAGAAACGCGCGCAGGGAGATTTATTGCTAATGAAGAATAAATATACGACGCATGCTGATGAACCCCTTCATTCTTCCTCCTTCATCAATTTCTCTTCTCCCTATCCCGTCTTAGAGACACTCTCCTTTTATCCAATTATTCCAATTCGTTCAATGTACATGTATATGCATACAGTATGCAATATAATATAATATAATATACATATACATATACAGGGTGTTAGGCAACAGGTGGGACAAAATTTAAGGGATGATTCTACACGATATGAAATGAGACGAAAATCAAGTGCAACAAAATCACGGTGGAGGCCTTCGTCTCTCAATTACAAGTGTCTGACAATTCGCGAAGAGTCGAAACATTTATAACTAAAGAAACGAAGCCTCCGCCGCAATTTCGTCACACTTGCTCCTTATTTTATCACGCAGAATCACTCCCTCAATTTTGCCCCGACTGCTCAACAGCCCTGTGTATAGCCGTGTAACAGTTCATCGGAACATTTTCGGTTATCTTTGTTCGCATATTCGGTTTCGCCTCTACATTAGCGCGTGTAAATGTGCAAATTATTAAATAAGAGACCGACAGAATGGTACGTTAACCGTTCCGTTCAAAGACACCCCTCCCGCACGGACATGCGAGTGAAGTGAATAGCAGTATCATTACGGTTACAAGTTAAATAACGCGTGAGGAGTGTCGCGCGACGCGTCATGTCGCACGCATGTCGCCTCCTCCGCCAGGGTCGCAACCCCTTTTCGACCGCACGCAGCGAATTGAAATTTTCCTCTCTCTCTCTCTCTCTCTTCTTTTTTGCGTCCTCTTTCGCATTGCCCAATCCATGGTTACATGCGCACGACACGCGTCCTCGATACCAAATCGAAAAAACGCTCGGAACAAGTTAGAAGACGTTTCTTTTGCCATCCCACCTCTCGCTGGCGCTCCTCCGGAGGAACGGACGCGCGATTCTTTTTCTCTCTCTCTCTCTCTCTCTCTGTCTCACTCTCTCACCCTCCGCGAGAGTCCGCGCTCTGGTCCCCGACGGGGATCGCGGAGGGTGGAGAACGCAGGGGAGTAAACGCGCGCCAATCTCTCCTCTCGACAAGCGTCGTCGGAAATCGCCCGATCGACACGCGCGCTTAATGTAAAATAATAAAAAATACAAGACTACTCGCACGTGAACAATTTTCGCCGCGACTCGCCGGCGTTCACCGGCCCTCCTCCCCCTTTCCTCTCGCTCAGCGTAGTATGTGTGTCGCACGCGCGGCATTCGCGTTTTACATTTCATATGCAATGTGCAATGTGTTCCTCTGCGGAATTCCCCCTCGATAATGATTGCAGTCACAGTCTCAACGCCGCTTTTTTATCTCCTTTCTTTTATTTTTCCCCTCTTCCCTCTTTTAATGCCTCTCTCGTTCCCGCTTCTCCCACCCCAACCCTCTCCCCTTGCTTCTTTCCTCGCACTATACTCTTTAAATTAATCCGTAAAGTGTTTTTTCCCCTCCCCCTAAGGCTGCTCGTCCGATATACTTCAGAGGACCAAACATGAGACGAAAAGAACGTGTACAGTACAGAAGACACATTTACTGTTTACCTTCCGAAACGTAAGAAAATAAATACTAAGTCGATCAATAAATAATAATCGCAGTTATATCGTTCTCTACTTCTCCTAAGTATGCTAATACGCTATTAAAAAAAAAATCATAGTACCGTACGTTTAATTTACACATTTATGTCGGTTTACTACACGGTGGACGCTTTGACTATCTTGCAGGAACGTTTGACGATAAATCAGGTTCGACATTACGTGTCACGGATTTACGAGAAGATACATACAAAGCGGAAAGTTACTCTCTGCTAATCGACGATCGGCGCACCGATCGTGGACGCTATCACCGTTGAAGGGAAAATAAAACCAAGGGGCAACGACACACGTCGTGGAAGCGCGGCGCGCTAGTTACACAATCGCCGCCCGAAATATTGCTCTCTGCCCACCATGCGTAAGTTGGAAACAAAACGTGTCGCTTCGAAATGCATAGGACTGATTAAAACGCGTAACACGCGATCGACGATCAATGCCTAACGCATCGCAGTACGGTTGAGCTTTTCAACCCTTGGATGTGCGGTCCCTCGGCGGGATAAGTTTCAAATCCTTTAAATAAGGAAAAGGTCTCAAAGCCCCATGCTCCCACGCATCCAAGAGTTAAACGATAAAATTGCATCGTTAAATTTGATCCATTATACGCAATCTGCCTCTTTGTTCGCAAATCAATTCTCCCGTGTGGAATCGGAACTCCAACTGATAAACTATTCCTTCGTCACTTTTTATAAAATAACAGAAAATAAAATAGGAAAGGAGACGCAAGAGAAGCCTGCGTGTGTAACATCAGTCTCGGAACCGACGCGAGTCTTCCTTACGAAATGATACGCGTGTGCAGGAAGCCGGCACGGGTCCGCGTTTACGGCGACAGAAGTTAAACGGACCTGTCGCCGCAGCGAGCGGGAAGTTAGTACCGCCGCGTTCGCGAAAGGACTCTCCGCAAGTTTCAACGTTCTCGGCAGGGCCTCCGAGAGCTGACATAATGTATAGCCTCGATGACGAATCGTATTAAAAATTTGTTAACACTCACACCCAACGGAAGCCAAACGATATTTCATCCTCGTTTAAACGCCAGCCCAACCCCACGAATGCTCTAGATGAAATAATTAATCGATCCCCCCCCCTCTCCCCCTCGTGAAGAAGGGGGCCATTCACACCTTGGTCCACGGTCACACGGCATACGATTCACGCACGCGAATTGCACTATTAAATCTAGTAATATAACAGGTATAAGTATGACATGTCTAAAAATCCTGTCGGTTGTGACGCAAATCGAATTTGTACTTTTTCCCCTCACGTAGTAGATTAGATAGAGACAAGAACCCGACGATTTTGCTTCCATTTTTTTTTCCTTTTTCAGCACAAAACGATATTCAACATCCTACAAAGCCCTACCAAACACCATCCCGTCGTTGAACCGGCAAATGACTCGCGAGCTCGCGTCACCTATATATCGTTAATGCGCGTTACTTTAAGCAGAAACAATGCCCTAGAAAGGTCCCCCGGGAACCGCAAGAGCCTAGCGTTCAGCCCTCCCCGATCGGACAACAGCCACGTTGTCTTCTGTGTGTGTTAACTGTTAACGACTTAATATTCTTGTTCTCAGCTCAAAAAACAACTGAGCTAGTTACCTTCCCGACATTCAATACCGATTAATTAATACACATTTATTGTATTTATCCCGTTAATTGTTCGTTCATCAATTCGCGTGGAAATTGAATGTCACAAGATCGTTCGATATCACAGTCGTTTTTCAATTATTTTAGTGTTATGTATTTATATATATAACGCGCGTTATCATACTGATAAATACAGCTAGAAAATAACATGAGTGCACCCCGTGTCTCCCTCAAGAGGCTTATGTTGGCTTTCTATCCCCCCCCCCCTCCCCGTTTTTTTCCTTAATGAGGATAGAGCCCGCTATGTCAATGCAAAAGCATCTCTCCCTCTGCTCTTAGTTTGTTTTTTTTATGTGTGTTTTTAATACCCCTCTGTAACTGCAACCGTATTTTTAATCTGTCCCAATATAATTTATCCTCCATATGAGCACTCACACATTCGCATTCGGTACTGCAGACTAAGATTTTCTTTTTTTATAAAGCGCCATACCAATTTCGCAGGGCAACGTCTCCGTTACGTTTAGAAATGCTATTCGAGAAGCACGCTTCTACGTGGGATCAACGCAGTTCCGTCTGTAGAACTACTCAAGCTCAGGTACATAAAACATTTATATATACCTGCTCTTTCCACTAAAGCATATTCTAGCCGCGTTTGTACAGTGAAACCTCCATATTTCTTATAGGCAATATCTATAAAGATTTCCTCATCTAAGGTTTACTGCGAACGTTTACAACGCAGAAGAGAGACAGTGCCGAGACGGCAGATACAGTTCGACTGACAAAACAAAAAGATTGAAGATCCTTTCGACAAAAATATCTTACGACGGAAACTTTCCTCATGAACATTACGCAACCGTCGTACATATCGAGGTCTCACTGTAACAACCAAAGTTATATGAGATTAACTTATGAAAATAACTGCCGGCTGTAGATCGTGTGAAAATTTCTAAATTATCGATGCATATATCAGGCTATAATGAAAACGTGAGATTTCTAAAGGTATCCTAAGACGTAGCCTGTGTTGCCATTTTCTTTCTCAATATCAAAACCGTCGATCCCCGAAAAATTCACGTGGCTTATTCAAGTAAACCATATGATATTGCCGGCGCAATATCGTCTCTTTGGGGACGGCAAAACAACAAAGTACCATTCGTCGCTGAACTACAGCAAATTAAGGAAAAAAAATTAATAAGGAATCATCATGTACTCTATGGCGACGGTAGTTTGGCGTATCTCAGGCGTATCGATAAACGTGCACGTGCAAATAAAGAATTGTGCCATCCATTTGAACGAAATTGCAAGACTTTTACTGGCCATTAACGTAGCAAAGGCAATAAAATACTTGTACATTTAAAATGTTTTTGACACCTGTGCCAAACGTTTATACTACGCTATAATTACCGAAGATACGCCCACCGTTTACCTCCTATGAAAAAAAAAAAGTAAATATGTAATAAAGTTACGATGAGCCCCCATAATCTCGACAGGAGTTCTAAAAAATTTTACTAAGTTTCTTTAGCTACTATGTGTTACATCATTATTCCCTCCGAATGGGATTAACGATTTTATCGATTTGATTTGTTAGTGGTTATACTACTTGTGTACCTCAGCACGCACGGCAATAAAATGTTGGATGGATCTCTAATAAGTGTCGAACAAATCCTATTTACGATTTTCGCACTTTTTATGGTGAGATCATTCACATTTGAAAGAACATCCGGCGATCCACCGGCGCGAATACTAAATTGCACGCAGGATTTGTCAATGTCGCTCGCGAACAAAGTAATAAAGTGGAATTTAAACATAAGCATTCTTTTTCTGCTTCTCATCAAAAACAAAACTCGGAGTGCACAGGCAGTCGAGCGAAAACGTGAATACGTATTATACGTGAAACTGTCTGTACTCTGCGCATGTGTGTACATGTATACGCGCGCAAAACACGTGCGTGTAGCGTTCAGACATAATAATGTCGTGGCTTCCTTACATATAATTGAATTTGCGTGTAGAGTAATAATAATAATAATAATGATGATAGAAGTAGAAATAGAGATGGAAATAATCGTCTACTTGTCCCATGCTCCCCACCAGTCAGGGCCGCTGTTGCCATTATTAGTGGAATTATTGTACGACGAATTATAGTTACCTCCGTAACCTGAATAACCGCCTGTAATAAGACAAACGTGTAAACTAGCGTGTGTGAAGAAAATACAAAAAACACTGTACTGTTTACACCATCGGTTTAATTAATATCTTGTCAATCATTTCAATTACCTCCGTAACCAGGTCTAGACGGTCCATTGCTACGACCAGATCCAGAACTAGGTTGTTGACGATAATCTCTCGCACCAAAGCCGCCGCCACTGAAGCGGCCCTTGGTGCCTCCACCGCCGCCGCCACCGCCGCCACCACCACCACCGCCGCCGCCGCCGCCTGGTCGCCGAGATCCACCACCGCCGTATCTCGCGTCGGTATACATGTCATCCAGCCAAGGTGGAAGTTCCTGATTGGCTTCGATAAGCAGAGACACCAAATCGCGTACCAAGTTATGATTCTTATGGTTGAAGAACGATGTAGCCAGACCTGAGTAAAGAAACGAGACGCGGCGTAAAATTTCTGCTTATCGTCGAACGATCGCCAGCGACAATTTCAAAGTGAAACAAACCTAAATTGCCCATACGACCGGTACGACCGATACGATGAACATATTCCTCAACGTCGCCGGGTAAATCAAAATTAATGACATGTTTAACATGTGGTATGTCGAGACCACGTGCCGCCACCGCGGTAGCGACTAGAATCGGTGCTTTGCCCGCGCGGAAGCGACGTAGCGCTTCCTCTCGTTCGCGCTGAGTCCTGTCACCGTGAATACTAGTAACCGGGTATCCCATTGTGGCCAAGTATTCTTCGAGCATGTCGGCACCCTTTTTAGTCTCCACGAACACTAGGGTGAGCGATTCCGCAGCTGCGTGACACAAGCGTTAACATCTTTTACATCGTATCTTTTTAGGTACATTGCCAGTTGAAAGAAAATTTTTAGTCGAAAACTCGATGTTAATTCGAGTTCAACTCGGCACTGCAACTTACTAGGATCTGAAAAGTTGCTAGCCTGCAGTAAATCAAGTAGGTATGAACGTTTGTCATGTTCCTCCACCCATACAATCTTCTGCGTGATATTCTCGGAAGTCGAGCCTACACGGCCAACCGCCAAGAAGATGTAGTTGCTGAGGAAATCTCGGGCTAACATTTGAATCTCTTTCGGGAAAGTAGCAGAGAACATGAGAGTCTGTCTCTCTCCAGTCGGCGGCATGTTATCCTCCTGGACGATGCGTCTGATCTGTGGCTCAAAACCCATATCCAACATGCGATCCGCCTCGTCCAGTACCAAGAATCTAAAACACAAATATAAAGTAATAAGTAACACGGTTAGAATCGCGGTTGGTCCCGAGTCGATTCCCGACGCGAACGTACCGGCAATTGTGCAAGCCGATTTTACCGCGCCCCAACATGTCCACCAGACGCCCGGGCGTAGCCACAAGTAGATGACAGCCGCGATCTAACTCGCGCATCTGATCTACTATGTTGGAACCGCCGTATACGACCGCGGGACGCATACGCGATCGGTACGCGAATTTCCGCGCCTCGTCGTATATCTGCGTGGCGAGTTCTCTCGTGGGCGCCAACACCAGACCCAGCGGATACTGCTTACGTCTGCCGGAGGAGTTCGCTTGCGGTGGTGGCGGTCGCGGCCCGCTCTCGTAAATCTGATTCAGTATTGGCACTAGGAAGGCCGCTGTTTTACCGGAGCCGGTTTGAGCGCAGGCCATCACGTCACGGCGTTCGATGATGATCGGTATCGCGTATTTCTGTACCGGTGTAGGCTTATCGTATCCTGTCAAGATGATGCTATTCTTTATTATCTCTGTCAGCTTAACCTCGTCAAACTGAAAACAAGAAATTAGAAAGCAAGGGGATTAGAGAGCGAGTGCGCGTGCGGAAAAATTAAGAGACGCATCAATATGAAATCAAATATACGTGTCGCACTCACAGATGAGATGTGTGGTGGTATGTTCTCTCCGGTAGCCTCAACTGGGATATCCTCGTATTTGCTAAAATTGATCCCAGTATTGCCAGTGCCAAACAGCTCCAACTCCAATCGCTCGTCTCTGGCAGTGGGGATCGTCCAGTCGACTTCGCCTCGGCCGCCCCTGCCGCCTCTGTCATCGCCCCATCTTCCACCGCCCATTCTGTCATTTCTGTTGTCTTGCCAGCGATCATTTCTAATGGGCTCCTGCCAGCGATCGTTGCCGCTAACTGGTCGCTCGCGCTCGTTGGGGAATCTAAAGTCCCGTCCATTCTCCTGGCTGCGCCTGTTGCGCCCGAAGCTCCCGAAGTTCGTGAAGTCGACGTCGCGAGGACTCCGCGAGTCTCGATAGCCGCCACCTCTGCCCCTGTCCCGATCATGGTCCCGATCAAGGTCCCTCTCTCGGTCATGATCGCGATCTCCCCCTCTGTCTCTGTCGCCAAACGATCTTGGGTTGGAAGCGTAATTTAAATCCGAGGGTGGGTTACCTGTCGAACCGGAACAATTGGGCACTTTCTTTTATACCAGTTACTACCTCTTCTACCTCGCTAAAGCAATTTAACTCTACAAGCTAAGATCGAGAGACAGTCTGCTGGCCAGTATACGCTTATCAGCCCCGACGTGTCAACGTATCACCATGTACCACTCGATACATTTGGGATTCGTCACAGGCGACCGTTTTTAACGCAACCTAATTCAGCATACAAATCGGCAATTTTAGCAAGTTCCTATACTCACTCGCAGCTTTATGACGAAGATGCGGTGGAACGTAGCGGCCCCCACTTGGTTGGCGGGAGGCCTGCAAGTCCAGACCAGCTAGCTGCGGGGACAGAAAAGGTTCAGGTTAGACCGTGCCGCGAGTCGCAACCGCGTGGCGTCCGGATAAAGTCATTATCGGATCCGACGATGAGTCATCTCGATCGGGCTCCGCGAAAATCCGACTTGTCTTGTGCGCGGACCCGCGCCCCTCGCCCCTTCCGCCCATCTGCCTCTCCCTGCCGCGCGCAATCCTATCTCGGGAATAAGCGCGATTCGAAGGAAGCGAGAGAAGGAGGGGGGGGGGGAGAAAGAGAGAGAGCACGAGCGCGTCGCGACACGAGGCATGCCGTTCCCGGAATCGCTTGCCGCCATTATACGTAGCGTACGTCACGAGCTGGCCGACGAGTGACGACGGCCCATGATGCTCCCTCTCTCTCTTTCTCCACTCTTCGATCGGATAAAGGAAATTCCCCCTGGCGCGTTCCCCAGCGTCCGCGTCGGAGTTTCCCCATGGGGAAAATCCCATGCGGATTGCGTCGAGAGCGCGGGTGACGCGAGGAGGGTGGGAGGGGGGGGGGACGCTTCCCCGAAGAGAACAATGCCTCCTCGGACCTTTCTCTCCGGCCCTTTTCTTCCTTTCTTACCTGCTGCTCTAGACCTGATCCATTCTGGTTGGCTGCATTACTCATATTACTCCGCCTCGGTGCGTAGGTTTCGCAGCTCTGTCGCTTGAAGCCCTTTTAGCTCGTCTTCTTCTTTCTCTCTCTCTCTTTCTCTCGCTCTTTCGCTCTCTCTCTCTCTCTCTCTCTCCCTTGCACACACACGCGAAAAAATTTCCCGACGCGTCCCAACGCGCTATCTCTGTCTCTCTGTCTCCTACGCTCTCTTTGTTCGTCGTCTCGCGGACTGATTAATAGTTACGCCTAGCCAGGCGATCTAGCCTCGCTAAATCCTCACGTATTCTCTCGCCCGACCCTCTCAGTTCAACGGAGAAACGGCTGCGCGCCGATCAAGTCTCTCGCTCAACACGATACGGACGAATCCCGGAGGCAACTGGCGTGACTGCTAGGAAAGCGGAGGCCCCTGGCCGCACTCGACGTTGACGCAACAAAAATGGCCGAGAGCCCGAACTGCCAAAATGGCGGCGGCCCGACTTCCGCCGGACGTCAGGGGCGACGGGACGCCGCGAGTCCGGATGGGGTGAACGCCCCCCCCCCTTCACGATCCGCCATATATGGGCAACGTTAGAAAAGAAGCGCGAGAACTCGAAAATTTACGTTAGAAATGCTTTGGTGTATTTTTAATTATTGCACGGTACGACCGATCGAAGATACCGCGGTCGGTAACGATGCTCGAGCTGTCGAGCGCCCTCGATAAAATCGCATCCTTTTTTTTTACGCGGAAATTATAATTTTCTCCGTACCCTTTCTACACCCAAGGATGATCCTGCTTGTTGTTCATCCGAACGAATCTCGCCGCATCAAGACCATTTGTGGGCGTAATTTCTAACATAAGAAGGCGATTAAAAATCGAAGTAAAATGGTACAAAATTATGCTTTGGTATGACGGCCGTACTAATGTCTGGTCTTCCGCTCAGTAGTCTACAAACACCAAATTGAGGATCTTCAATTGAAACGTGAAGTCAGTTCTGCCCTACGATTGTGAGACCTGGAAAACAACGGCTGGGATAACACACACGTCGCAAGTTTTTGTGAACCGACGCCTACGCAGAATACTGAAGGTCTTTTGGCCCGACAGAATCTCCAACAAGGACCTTTGGTCACGTACAAGCGCACGTGAAATCCGCGAGGAAATCAAAAGACGCAAACGGAAGTGGATCGGACACACCCTACGGAAACCAGTGGGGAACGTCAATCGACACTCCCTGGAATGGGATACTCAGGGGACCAGGAGTAGAGGACGACCAAAAATGACATGGAGGAGAACGGTATTGAAGGAGGCAGAAGACAACAAGAAAAGTTGGAACCAAATCAAGTGTTTAGCGGCTAATAGAACGCGCTGGAAAACCTTTGTAGAGGTCCTATGCTCCCGCGAAGGGTGAAAGGACTTGATATATACGACGGCCGCACTAAAATACCTGTGCAAACTTTCCCACTCGGATGAGCCACAACAAAACGAGATCCCGTTACGTTCCGAACGAGAGATTGTGCCACGTGGTGCAGGGAAGATCGGTTTGTTTCCCCAATTCGTTCCAACTTCAGTTTAGCTGCAGTTGCCCGAGAATGGAATCTTGCTAGAGTATAAAACAAATGTCTTGTAAACTTTTTCCTTTATTGTACAACGTGTCGCCAAACATCAGCGTTTAATCTAATCGTCCTTCTTCGTGTCGGTCTTGCCTCCTCTAATTCTTCCAGTACGACGAGCAGCAATGAGACCGATCTTACGACCAGCGCTGGTGCCACGCTTGACGGTGGACGCCTTACCGATGTGTTGATGGTTACCACCACCGTGAGGATGCTCCACAGGATTCATGGCGACACCACGAACCTGGAAAAGGTTTAGAGCGTCTCGTAAATATACGGCAGGGAAGCGTCACACGCTCGGCGCGAAAGCTTTAAGTTTCGCTCAGTTGAAAAAATTTCCACACGAAAATTCTTCGGGTTTCAAATGTCTTTGTGTTACCATCATCGGGAAAATTTCATTCATTCACTGGGTCGTACAGCGATGGACAGAATGCTCGCGACACTTTTTCTTTAATGAATCTAGGAATGTGCATTTAGATCCGGGGTTACGTTTCAAAATCTTCTCCAGGGAATATTTTACCCGTTTCCTCACGGAAAATGTTTTGAAACGCAAACCTGCGTCTAAATGTGCATTCCTAGGCTCATCAAAAATTGCCATTCTGTCCATCGCTGTACAGCAACGGTGCGAAAATCTAGAAGGCATACCTTAGGCCAGCAATTCCTCTTGGCCTTATACTTATGGTAAGCCCTACCGGCCTTAAGTATGGGCTTGTCAATACGCCCGCCACCAGCGACGATCCCGACCATCGCTCTGTTGTTCGATGGAATAACCTTCTTGGCGCCAGAAGGTAACTTGACCCTAGATTTTTTTGTATCGGGATTATGCGTAATTACTGTCGCATAATTGCCAGAGGCTCTGGCCAATCGACCACGGTCGCCAGTCTTCTCTTCCAGATTGCACACGATTGTACCTTCCGGCATCATGCCGACCGGCATCACGTTTCCTATCTGGAGATTGGCTGGAATTGAAAACGTTACGTTCTGTGAGTGAGAAAAGTTAACACGCAATTGATGAAACTCTCATAAGTTTAACATTATTTTATTATCTCGTCCAATGTTGCTCATCTAGAAATCTTCGCTAGACGCACCTTTCTTGCCGCAATACAGGAACTGGCCGGTGTACATTCCCTCCGGCGCGATAAACAATTCCTTACGCGTTTTGAACTTGTAAGGATCCCGGAAATGCACCACCGCCAACGGCGCGCCGCGACCAGGATCGTGGATGATGTCCTGAAAAGAAAAAGAAACAACTCTCAAAATCTATTAAACTGATTAGAAGCATTTTTGCAACGTGAAAAAAAATATCCTCAGAAAGAGCCTCTATTTAACGTCATCTAATCAATCAGACGTAGGTATGTTTGGTATCATCATGAATCCAAGCTGAAGAATTTAGGAGCAAACAAAGCAACAAGCCTAACTCTGGTAAATTTATCCTTTATCTCTTTCTAACTGTCCCCTTAGAATGAATTAAAACTAAGGAACGTTTGTGAAAGCGGGCCTTAGAAGGTTTCCCTGAGGCCCGAGTTGCAACAACTCGCTTGACTTTAACTTTAGCTTAACTCATTCGTCGTCTCTTCCCAATCGTGTCCCTTAAGCTTAATCGACAATGTGCTTTCTGCATCTAGAAACATTATATTTTATATAAACAAATCAAAACGCTTAAAAAATTTGTCAATGTACGATTATGCAATGTATAATACACAACTTATCATCTTGCACAAATTTTTTAAACATATTTATTGGCTACAAAATCGAATGTTTCTAGACGCAGAGAGCACGTTGTAGATTAGGCTTTAAGTGTTTGCAACGAGAAACATTCCTATTTTATATAGGCAAATCGATATGCTTAAAAAATTTGTCGACAATGCACGATTGTGCAATGTATAATATACAGTTTATCAACACGCACAAATTTTTTAAACGTGTTTATTGGCCATAAAATAAAATGTTTCTAGACGCGAAGAACACATTGTGGATCGAGCTGCGTTCGCAAACAGCACCCAAGTACCCTAGGGTACCATTTTATCCTTAGGCTTGTTTTCTGTTGCTGCACTGGTGAACTAGTGCAATAAGTTAAAGTAGAACAAGTATATTTTTTCTCATTCTAGCTTACTGCACTAGTTCACCAGTGCAGCAATAGAAAACAAGCCTCTTGTTCCTCTTTGAATGTTAATCCCGAAGGGGAAACCGCTGACCAAAATCTTGTACACCAATGCCCAATGCCCACTAGGCATTACTTTATCTTATTATTTTCAGTCTCTCTCTGGGCTGTTGTATGATCAGACGTATGTCAGTCGATGTGCAAAGTGAAAAATCGATCTCTTCATTTCAATGGATATTTATTTCCAAATAGCCTCGGTTAACCCTTAGCCGGCACCATGGGGTACTAAACGCCCCAGCCTAGTTCAGCTCAAATTTAAGCCCCTTATAGGACGCAAATTGTACTTGTGGTGCCACGTCTTATTCCCAGTGTGCAAGCTATGTGATTCTGGTGAAATATGCAAACTAAGGGTTAAACAAGGATAAAATGATACACGGGGACACTCGGGTGATGTTTTCGGGCGCAACCTAGACACATACAGAGTGATTTGAGCTAAAGTTAAAATTATGTGACGGTGCAACCGGACCTAAATGCTTCTCCGAATTCTAGGTTTGCGCTACTTAAAATATCGAGCCAAGCAGAATAAAGAGCAAAATGGAAAACAGAATGCAAACCTTCACGACACCCTTGATGAAACCATGCCTCTCGGAGAAGTCCAGAGACCGCAGCTTCGGCGCTCCCTTTCTCCGCTTCGTGTGGGACCGAAAGACGGATCCCGCACCTTTACGCTGCGCACGAATCACTCGACCCATGGCTCGAGACCTGGAAAGAAGAGATCACGGGTATCATGCACCTCGCCGACACTACATGTGCATTTCGGCTGGCGCATCATAACCTCGACGACGCCGCTCGAGGTGCGAATCCGTCGTTTCGCCGACTAGCGAAAATATCGAGCGCATCTTACGTACGGAAGACGACGAACACGTAATTGCGAGTTTTCTTCGACGGATTCGTCTCGAGCGCGGTAGATCAACGCGGATAATCCGCGCCAGCGAGAACCTGTACAAGTACCAGAGGAGCCGACGTCAAACAGAGGGAAGAGAAAACGGAAGTCGACCGTGATTGGAGGATACCACGGTGCCTCGCTTGATCGCGTAGTCAGCTAAGTCAGCTCGTTAAAATGGCGGACGATTCAAATTCATTCCTGTCCGATCTGTACGGGCCGGATTCCGTAACTTATTGCGAATTCGGCAACTTGCACTAGTGCGCACTAAGGCTTGTTCACAGGCAATTCTTATATTTAAGGACCGTCTCAAATACTTTTCGAAACACTTCTTACAATTAGCCAGTAAAATAATCTGTATAGCATTTGTACTGATGTTTTTTCACAGTTTTTCATGGGTTGTTGCCAGTTAACGATACCGAAAAGTCTCGATAGTAAGTTACAGAATTTCCGTACTGATTAAAGCCAACGGTACGCGATACAGTTTTTCCTACTGGATTGCTGACGGGAGCCAATCAGGACGCAGAGTTCTAGATCAGGTGACTTAAGGCTAAATCCCGATCCAGGAAAAATAGTATCGTGTGCCGCTGGCTTTAATTTACATTTTACATACATTTCTGTATTCTGATTTTAACAAATTAAAGAAACAACCCAGTGAAAGACGTCTAATAGACGTCTTAAAGATATGTCTTTTAGACATGTATGTTCTCTGGGAAGTAAATCAATGCGTCAATTAAATGCAAATAATTCTCCAAGTTAACACCTGGAAAGTAATGTTCTGAGCGCAAAGATTTAATACTAAACTTAATTATATCTTAAACTATATAATTGTGCTATATAATAATCGTTATATTACAAAGTCTTGTTGCAAAATCTCAATACAATTGCTTTTCCTTCAAAAGAAAATTCCACCAGCAAGATTTGACATTTTACATGTCGAAACTGTGGTGAAACGCTCTTTCCCTCTATAATAAATATTCAACTTGAATGTGAAAAATTGCGAAGCGACAACTACGAAGTTTTACAGCGATTCCGTGCTAAGGAGCGACGTGCGTCCCCTCCAACTCGTTCGCACCAAATCTCGCCCGGCGACAATTCTTTTATTTCAACGCGCGTATTCGACATGGACGGACGCGTCGTCTCGCTCGTTATCGTTATTTTACTTTGCTCGTTGATAGATGCGCAAGATGTGATCAGACGGAAGAGAATCGTCGGCGGGGCCCCGGCAGCGCAGCCTCCCGTGGACGACCCGGTGGTTTTTGTGAATAAAAACGATCGTGAAGCACGCATCGTCGGCATCCGCGATCCTGACAAGGGATTCTACGTTTACCGCGGAATCAGATTTGGGCAGCCGCCAACCGGCCGAGCTAGATTTCAGGTAAAACCACAAGTATATAGACCTCGGATATACCTGTAAGTAAAGTCCTCTATTATGAGATAGCAGATATTTTCAACGTCAAAATTTAATCACAAATCTTTATTCACAATGATTACACGATGTAACAATGAATTTGCCACTAAACAGATTTCACTCCAAGGGCAATAAATTAACGATGAAACCAATATAGACGATGCCTATTAATTTAGCAAAAACCCTGCTATCTCGTATTAGAAGTTGACCGCATAATAGGGGACTTCCCTCTATATGTAGATGTAAAATGAACTTATATACATTCAACGTGATAACAAAATCGCGGCATATTTGGCACAATTAGAACTCTCCGCCACCCTTTTATCTACAGATATAGTTTAATTTTAAACAATTTTATCGGTATTTAATTACATATAAGTATAAGAATTTGAATTAAGGACTTAATACAGATTTGAGAATTTGTGAAGATACCAATTACGATTATCAAGCGATACAACTTATACTCGTAGATAAAGATTTTTAGTACGATACTTGCAAGTAATACACGTGTCTACGTTTACGACTCATTTAAACCGTTACGTGAACTGTGGTACTAAAAAAGCATGACAATATATGCGATAATTAAATTCGATGACCCGTGGAGTAAACGTGCGCGCCACTTTAACGGGCAATCGCGAGTAATAATAGCAGTCTTCCATGTAGGAACAAAAGTTTTTTTTTATATATATACTTTTTTACACTATTATTAATCGCGATAACGCGCACGATCAGGCACAAGCAGATTATTATTTTACCTCTCGGTGTATCCTGTCACAATTTGGCTTGGTATAACGAGCCCAATACATGTTATCAGTCCTGTTCGAAAAGTAACAGGAAACGTCGAAAAAACTAGGAGACTTGTTGCGACAAATTTTATACACTATTTGGCAAATATTAATTAATTATATAGCTTGGCACGTCGACCAAACATAGATAATTAATCATTCATTGTAATGTTAGCTGAACAAAATTCTATACCTTTTAAATATTTACTGTATATTATTCTTCTAGGGACTCTCATACCGAATGTACAAACTAACGTTAAGCAATTTTTTAACAATCACTACCAGTACAAGTACCAGCCATCATTGGCTTTGACTTTCTTCGCGCTTCGTAAGAAGATAATAGTCTATCGTCGAAATTAGTATCCTTATTTAATAAGAAAAATAAATTTTCAGCGAGCTACGCCCGTACATCTCGAAGGAGAGTACAACGCCACGACGTGGGGACCTCCCTGTCCTCAGCCCAGCCCGAATGAAACCGGCAAGATCGTCGGTAGCGAAGACTGCCTTTTTCTCAACGTCTTCACCCCGTCGCTCCCGGACTCCAGCGGCGGTTATCCCGTACTGGTATGGATCCACGGGGGTGGTTTTCGAAGAGGCGCGGCGTGCCAATACGAAATGAGACATCTGATCAAGAAGAAGCTGGTCGTCGTGTCCATCCAGTACAGATTAGGGACATTGGGTAATTAAGAACGCGCCGAGGAATAGTAGCGAGGGAACAAAATCACCTCGTCGGGTCTCTTTGTTTCAGGATTCTTGAGCACCGGTACCCACGAGATGCCGGGAAACAACGGTATGCTCGACATGGTGCTGGCGGTCGACTGGGTGAGGGATTACATATATTTCTTCGGCGGTGACCCGAACAAGATAATCGCCTTCGGTCACGGCACCGGCGCAGCTTCCGCTATGATGCTGTCGTTGTCCAAGTTCGGCGAAAGTAATTCCGACGGCATGATCTACCGAACGAATGCACCCTCCTCCCTCGTCGTTGATGGATCATTCTGTTTCCGCAGATAGCTTCAGTGGTTTGATCGCGATGTCCGGCACAGTTTTGTCACACTTCGCTCTGGACAGGGACCCTTCGGAGACCGCCAGACACGTGGCCCAGAGAAACGGCTGCCCCACGGACGACACGCGAAAGATGGTGGACTGCCTGCGAGAATTGCCGGTCGAGAAACTGATCGGCACCGATTCCGAGCTGGAGACCGTCCGCGCGACTGTCCGAGGTTTCGTCTCCGGCTTGGCCGACCTGCTCGGGCCCGGTCCTGTCGCGGAAGGCTCCAACGACGGGAGGTAATGCAAATGTATCGTGATATTTACCAAGTCGAGTTCTTCTTAAATCACGCTCACTGTCGATCGTCCTCAAGGTCGCTTCCGAACTTCATGATCACGTCGCCGGAGGATTCTCTGAAGCTCGGCAGTTTCCCGTCTATACCGCTGTTAACGGGAGTCATGAAGGACGAGGCAGGAGGCGCCATTCTCGGTCAATACAAAAACGAGGTGCAAAAGAAGTTGAGCACGGTCCCGGATTATTTGACCAGCGACTTCATACCGTACCTGCAAGGAACCATTCCAAATCTGAAGAATGGATCGCGGCTCGTCCCGCAAGCCTTCCGTGGCTACCTCGACATGTTCCAAGGTGGCGGCGCACCGAATACCATTCAGAAGGTTGCGGAGGCTCTGGGCGATTCGCTCTACAACGCTCCCGCGTTTCTCACCGTCGACCACTGGTCTAAAAGGGCGAAGACGTTTCTGTACACTTTCGACCACAAGGGAAAACGAAACTACGGCAAAGACTTTCTCGCCGGACTGCCAATCGCCGACGCCAGATCGTCGGATGGTACAATTTATAATAATCGCTAAAGTACATTATGTTGTAATCTTCTTACATAACGTTGATATAATTAACAAACTCGTTTGCAGGTAATTTGAATCATGGCGACGATTTGGGATTCATCTTTGGTCGAAACACGATTACTGGCGAAAAAGTGAGCGAGGACGAGGAGTCGGACGAGGCGGACAAGCGAGTGACCGACATTTTTACAGATATGATAGCAAATTTCGCGAGAAACGGCATGCTCGGCGCTACGAATGTACGAACCAACGACAGCACTTGGATGCCAGACATAATTCCAAGTTTCTCAGACAACGCAAATTCCTTCGTCAGTATCACGACGTCTCCGAAGAACATGAATAATTTTAGGTAATGTTCGCGATAACTTTATGTTCAACATTCTCGGTCAACTGTTCGCATCAGTAAACTGTTACTGCATTAATTTCAGATACTGCGAAATGGGATTGTGGACGGTTGTACCGGAACGATTACAGTCACCAATGTGCAGTTTGTACAAAGTGCCTCTGCAGTTAATAGAACAAGGTGCCAAAGGAACGATATCTGTAATTCAGAAGCCTATCAACACGTTCAACGAGTTCATTCCCAAAGCCGGGAGCCACGACATCGCGGGCAAATCGACAGATCGAAGTACCGAGGAACCGAAGAAAACAGATACGGCGCAACAGAAAACGAATGACAAATTATTACCGAAGATACCTGTACCGCAGATACCATTCGTCGGATAAGTTATCATTCACAACACGTTTGCTTTATACATATATGTGTTGTTCTTTTATTGCAAAGATAATATATAAAAGTATCTAATCGGTCGATTTTACCTCATTGTGAAACAAATTTATAGAGTCTAATAACTCAGTGTTTAATAAGTCTTCGTCTATCGGTTCCCATACATTTGCATCTTGCGATTTTTCTTCACTGATTTTAGGACTTTCTTCTATCTTTTTATCTTTTTTGCATGACACGAGGTCTTCAGGTTTCTCGTGTTGTTTTTCTGTATCAATATTAAGGGATGCAGTTAATTCACATTCCTCATTTGCAGTAGTAACCTTTGGAGGTATATCAATATCCAGCTGACTTTGCTCCTTGTCTCGCGTCTTGTCTTGTTCTTGTAACGTAGTCTCCCCTTCCTCAATCTCCTTGTGTGACGTACCATTCGCCCAAGATCCATTCATGCTGTTATCCTCTTCAGTTAATTCTATACCGTTTCCATTCTGGGCTACTTCACATTGTGTCGCAGTAATTTTTAACCGTTTATGTACAAATGGTATTGAACCTGCGTCTTCAGAAAGCTCTCCTTCAGCCCTACTTCTTTTATCTGACCTACTAGCAGTAGTAATTTCTTCTACTTCATTTTCAGAAACAAGTTCATCATCAGGTTCCCTAGAAATCAATGTGTATTTCTATAAATTTATTTAACACAGGCAAATAAAACTGTTAACAGTCTTACGTGTATAAATTCTTGCACGTATAGTTATATAAACTTGGTGGATTGAAAGATTTAAAACACTTACTGCTGCCGCGGCAACTGTAACGTGGGTCCAACAGGATGTATAATTTTTTCCAACTCGGCTGACGCGAGTTTTGCCTCTCGAACAATATTTAAATCAACATCGTGAGCTGCCATGTGCGATATTTCTAGACAGTATTGTACAGGAAATGCCGATGCTACGTGCGGATTCATTTGCAAAGCTTTTAATACTCTAAATAGTTCCAAGCGGCATACGTTGTGATTTTTATAGAAATTCTGTTCAGCCGAGCTCAGATAGAGATTGTACAACAAAGGTATCACGGTATTCTGTACGTTCTAAAAGAAATATTCAGAAAAATCATGGAAATGCATCGCCATAGCAAAGGAAACAATCTAGATAAATTTACCTTGTAAAATGTCTGTTTCAGCAGGACACTGCCGCTGAAAAGTATATTCTGCAAAGCGGTAAGAGCCTCTTTGCACAAATCTGCATCTAGTTTCTTCTCTCCACTTTTAGGTGAGCCCTCCCCATTATTCAAAATTGTGCTATTTTCATACTGACTATGCTTGAAACGTTTTACTGTCCGTTTAGACAAGTGCTGCGTCTTTTGTTGCATCTAAAACAGAAAAATTCTCTATTCGATAATTTCTAATAGATAGCTTATTTGAAATTTAGAGAAAGTTTACAATCCCTTTTCATAAAAATTATAATTGCAATGGTAATAAAGCCAGCAATTTAGAATTTTATAATCACAAAGTGTACAATTATGTGACAGTTAACCGAAACTTACGGATAATAATATACAATCTCGTTCTGGCGTTACATCCTTCAATATATATGTAACACACTCATTTGCAATTGTTTCTATTCCTGACAGTGAACTCGTATTAATTAGCCACGAACAGAGACATTTGTAAGCGCATATTCTAACATTTCTAAAAGGTTTACTATCGCTAAATGTCATTTGCTTTTCGGAGATGGCATCTGTCCACTGTAACGTTTGTTGGAACAACTGCAATACGGTTTCCCCGTATGGTACTAGTTCCTGAGCAAATCTGAAACGTGCATTTACATTACAAAACATGCCTGTCCCTGATCATTCGATAAATGTAGGTCTTATCAAAATTTGTACCCATTAATAAATGCGTCCAAAACCGTGAGCAAGCTGATGTGCAACTTTGGCAAGATAACGTACAGCATCTGTTCTTTAAAGGAAGACTTGTCTTTTAGATTTAACGGCGTCACAGCCAACCCTCGACATAAAACTCCTAGAATGTCGTGAGGTAGAACAGAATTTCTCGCCTCGTATCCCCTGCAATTTCAAATTAAACCTATACTTCGAGACTTTAAATAAGGTATGTTGATAATATCATTCAATAGATGCAAGATTAAAGTCTGGTTTCACCAACGTCGCTTAACTCTAAGCTTAGCTTAATTCGTTCCTTGTCTCTCTCCAACTGTTACTCTAGAGACAAACCCGAACTGAGCTAAGATTAAAGTTAAGCAACGTTTGGTGAAACCGGGCCTAATAGACCTAAGATCTGTACCGTAACATCGAGGAAAGATAAATGCAGACGTTCGCGAATCTCTGTCTCTGCCCGTTGTAGTATTGTACCGTGTCCTTGTTAGAAATAGGCGGTAGTTCTAACTGGTCCCAGATGTCTACACTCTCCAGCTCTATTAATCCAGAGAACAATTCGTCCATTATGGCGTGCAAGTTGTTACAAAGCAACGCTTCGTTGTACGTTGTCACAGTGTACACGGATTTAGACGGCGGTGGTTTAAACGAGCGTTCCGTCGCTTTGGACAGAAGAACGTAGCATCTCGCGCTGGCGTTAACCAAGCTCTCTTGCTTCGAGTCAATTTGAAACAATATCGTTTTCCTTATCAATTCCTGAAAACGTTAAAACAATAATCTCTTACACACGTAGACGATTATCTTACGTTGGTTAGAATTAATCCGCGGCGTAAAACCATTTCCGAACAAAGAGTGAGAACAAGATCGGCCCCATTTTTTTCGCATTCGATTTTGGTCACAAAGTAGGTACCAAACGAAAGGTCTCGCAGATATGTCAGTCTCGGAATGTGCTTATTTAACCTTCCAGAGATATCGGGCTTCAAAAATTCCAAAAAACCTATACTTTTCCGAACAAAAAGACATTTCTTCTGCCACTGACATGATCAGAATGGTACTGAATCGCTTTACCAAAATGATCTACAACAGGTACGAAAGGCTCTTGGCCAAGTGGATGCACTGCTTGATGGATCTGAGTTGGAGTCGACTAAAGGTTTCCCAATGGTTGATACTAATGACATCTTTGAAGCCCGGTATCTCTGCAACGTTAAATAGGTACACTCTGAGACTAACATATCTGTAATCAGCTTGACGGGACCTTTCGTTTGGTACCTACTTCGTGACCAAAGTCGAACGCGGAAACAATGAGGCCATTTGCATATGGACACTTGTTCTCACTCTTTCTGTCGAATCTATTACCTGAAACCTCTCGCAAACTTCAGAATAGTGGTAAAGTAGGACAGCCAGCAGGTAGTAGACCGCGCCACATTTCGCGCCCGTCTGCAACGCGCT